ATCACATGTGAATGTGTCATTTCATTCTTTTCTTTTATGATATCATTGTGATACTTTACTAAACTGTGTTGTATTCACAATCTTTCAGGAAGTAAGTCAATATCACATGTGAATGTATAATTTTATTCTTTTCTTTTATGATACCATTGTGATACTTTACTAAACTGTGTTGCATTCACAATCTTTCAGGATGTAAGTCAATGTCACACGTGAATGTATAATTTTATTCTTTTCTTTTATGATACCATTGTGATACTTTAACTAAACTATGTTATTCGCAATCTTTCAGAAAGTAAGTCATATCTCACATATGAACATGTAATTCTATTTTTTATGTTTTGTCACTCCATTGTGTTTTTCAGAAAGTAAGTTATATCACATGTAAATATTTGGTGTGTTTTTTCCTTTATAAAGCCAATCTTTAAACTATAACAAATGTAATTCAAAATTTTTCAGGGGGTAAGTCAAGTCATATGTAAAATAATTTTAATTTTTTCTTCTATGATACCTGCATTGTGATACTTTAATAAATTGTGTTATTCACTATCTTTCAGGTGGTAAGTCATGTCGCATGTGAATGTGTAATTTTATTCTTTTCTTTTATGATACCATTGTGATACTTACTAAACTGTGTTCACAATCTGTCAGCTTGTAAGTCACATCACATGTGAATGTGTAATTTTATTTTTTTCTTCTATGATTCAATTGTGATACTTTACTAAACTGTGTTATTCACAATATTTTAGATGGTGAGCTGTGTCACATGTAAAATATATGCTTTTTTATTTTTCTTCTGTTTAACCATTCCTTCTATGTCAATCATTCTGATTGAATTTTTATGCTACAAATCCTGACATTATTGATGTCTTGTAGTATTTAAGTAAGTATAAATGTTATTAAAATAATAAATTAATTTTTCACATTTTAAAGATGCTCAAAATGGCAGAATTTATATTTTTCCCAGTACTGCCAATTGCCAATACAACACATTCATTTCTAGTATTCAATAATTCTTGTATTTATTGTTTAGCTCCATATCAAAGATATCAGAGAGCTCTCAGAGAACAAGGAAGTGCTGATGTAGCGTATGCTCGTCTTATGTTACTGGGATCAGCTGGTACTGGCAAGACGTGTCTCAAGCGTTCATTAATGGAAGAACCTTTCAATCCTCATACTACAAGCACCATTGTATCTGATGTATCGTCCGTACGACCATTTGAACACGAATGGCAAACAAGAAGAAACAAATGGAGTGAAGCCACAGAAGACGACGAAATAAAGGAGCTGGCTCGTTTGTTTAAATCCAGTCTATCTGAATCATCCTCTCATGTTTCATCTGAATCAAGTTTAGTATCTGCTTCACTCGATGTATCTCCTGCAAAAAGTAGTGCCAAACCTTCAGATTTAGATGCAAAAATCAAATCATTGCTTAAAAGAGCTCGTACATATAAGGCAACAGAATCACATGTTCAGGTAAGTCATACATGTGTAGTTGTGTACACTGTTACATATCAATTTTTAGCCATTTCTTCATATATGGGATTGTGGTGGTCAGCCAGTGTTCCTTGAGATTCTCCCAGCCTTCCTCACTCCTCGTACAATGTTTCTCCTCCTGTTTGATGCTTCAAAGGATTTCAGAGAAAGATGGCAGTCACGTCAGAATACTCCTGATGGTGAAGTGCTGTTTGGTGAGGTAGTGAATGAAAGCACCAGCAATCTAATGGCCAAATGGATGTCTACAATACATAGTTATCTCATGAAGCACAGCAAAGATGATTCAAGACGCAGCTATTTCATGGTCGAGCACAACATAGATGATACTTCTTCTCCTAGCCTCTATTGTGTTGGTACTCGTGGGGACAAGCTTAATGAAGAAAGAAAGGAAGAAATAAAGAAGCAAATACAGTCCCTGTATCAGAAAAAAGAGTTCTCGGATCTTATTAAAGATGTGCTAATCGTTGATAATACAACATCAGGCAGAGGAGAAGATGAAGACCCAAGCATTACAGAATTACGTGGTGCTATTGATGATTTTATCAATAATTTAGTTGTCAAGACCCCTGTCAATTGGTTTCTCTTTCGCAAAGTTCTTCAAGAGCTAAAGCAGAATATCATTAGTGTATCTGATGCCATTGCCATTGGAGAAGCGTGTCATATACCAGCACGTGATGTTCCTGTAGTATTGAAATTCTACCATGAGCTGGGAGTTCTGCTTTTCTATCCCAAAATAAAAAGTCTGACTAAAAAAGTCATTCTCAGTCCGAAATGGTTTGTTGATACCATTGGGAAGGTGTTCCCACTCGAGAAAGGATGGAGAGGAGGGAAAAAGTGGTATTTGTTGCGAAATAAAGGTATTCTTGTTCAATCACTCTATCAAGAACTATGGCAGTCAAGTGGTATTGATCCAGAAGAAATAATTGAACTCTTAGTTCATTTTCGTCTTGCAGCTCCAGTTCAAACTGAGGATTATGATAGCACATCCAAGCAATATTTTCTTCCAGCAGTGTTACAAGGATACACAGGTGATCCTAATGAAGTACGACTTGGTTATGAGCTAAGAGCCTCACCTGTACACATTACATTCTCCACTGGGTATGTACCTCCTGGCTTCTTCACTCGTTTAGCAACCACTGTAGCTACTAACGCCAGTGTTAAGCTTAATATCGATGATGATACTGCAGCACCTGTCTATCGTAATCGTGTCTGCTTCTCTTATGGTTGTCCTTCTGATGATATTGTTCTCACTGATATTAATCAAGCTATTCAAGTTGATGTGTTAAGATATGTCCCTGAGGGTCTTCATCCTGTTCCTTTTAAAACAGTTTGTCTGCAAATATTGGAGTTACTAAATGAATGTTGCCAAAAAGTAGAAGACACCCTTGATATTTACCATCGTCGTGACCCTTACATGCTCCTTGGTCTTTATGCTTATCAGAAATCATCAAGAAAAATACAATACGTGTGTCAATGCAGTCCTTCCAGCGAAGTCCATTACATTAATGACTTTGATGCTAAGAAGCAGACATGTTTTGATCCAGTTGTTTACTGCAAAATGAAAAGAACTCCTCGCTCCCTAACCATTAATGAGTCAATGTGGTTTAAAGGAAATCTGTCACAAGAAAAACACCAAGAGGTATAATAAAATGATAAATTAAAATTTTAATATTAATAATTTTATTGTACTATTTAGACCCCATATTCGGGAAAGACTGATGATGATAGTACTAGTAAGTAGCATAATTATAAATTTACATACCAATCTACACCATTAATTACCATGTACTACAATACATTCTATGTACATGTACTTTATATAGAGCCAACAATTCAAGAGGTTGAATCAACTACAATTCAGTCACCCACACAGATCAGTGAATCCAATGATAGTCAACAAAAAGGTATAAGCAATC